AAAAAAAAAAAAAAAAAAAAAAAAGTAAAACTGGAATACTGACTTTACCACACTGTGAATTAAAGAAATAAACTGATGGGGGTATACCAGGGATAGAACTCAGGATCTGGTGCTTGCAAGGCAGGCGGCAGCACCAGAGCTAAATCCCCAGCCCAAATGATTTTAATTAAAAAATTAAAAGTGAGAAAGTTGGTGGAAATACTTTGTTCCTTAAAACATTATAGTGTGTGTGTGTGTGTGTGTGTGTGTGTGTGTGTGTGTACTTTACCCAAATATCTCTGGTTTATTCTGTTTTTGGGGGTTGTTTTAATGCTGGAAATCAAACATAGAGCCTTGCACATACAAGACAAGTGCTATACCACTGAGCTGTATCCCCAGTATCCTAAGTAATTTTTATTTGTTTCCTATTACTGAATGGGGATAGTGGGTTTTGTAGTTTTCTCCAATTCTAATAATTGATAAACTTAGATGCCCAAAAAAAGGTAAGACTTCATATACTGGGAAATAAATATAATCCTTCAAAAGCTATCATCACCAAGTAATCATCCATCACTGTAAACAACTACTGTATTTTCTTCACTTGTTGCTCTTTAAGCACCTTTCCCATTTGTTCTGCTTGTTTACAGAACAGATTGTGACAAAGCTATCAGGTGTTGCTATGCTACAGCTCTCAGAAGGTTACTTACTGTATTAAGCAGAAAAGGAAGCCACAGCTGCTGATGTCCACCCTTTCACTGTAAGTGTAACCTGGGGCACCAGCCCAGGAAAAGAGTCCCCAGTCTCAGGCTCCCTACTTCCACAACCACCCATACTCTCCCAAAAGACTCACTAAACTATGGACTACAAAATTACCTGCCGGGGATGAAGCTATACATAAGTCCTGGCTTAGATCTGGATTCCAACACCACACAAAAAAATGATTAACAATTATCATGATGCTCAAAATCTAATCAAATCTAGTTAAATTCTAGTTCTGCATTTGCTAGTTAATAAATTTTATTGCCATTTACCTGCCCTCCCTACATCACAGAATTGCCTTAAGTCATGTGGAATAATTATGTAAAAGCCCTTTCTAATCTAAACCACCACAAAATATAAAGTACTGTGTCAAGATATTTTAGAGTAAAAGGAGTTTTATTAGCACTCAATTACTGATATCTAAATGTCAGCCTTCAAGTTCAGAACTGCTCTGTCCAATTCAACTCGGCGCAATAACAGAAACGTTCTAGACCTGCAATACCCAGCACTACAGCCTCTGGTCATAGGCAGCTACCATTCAGTACTGGAAATGTGTCTTACAAAACTAGGAGACTGAATCTTTAAACTTAATTATTTTAAACGTCAACAGTGACATGTGGTTAGAAGTTACCATACTGAACAGTCCAGGACTGGAATACGTATTGAAAAATCTAGTTGTATCTCCAAAGTCTTTAAAAGGAAGTCCAAGACCATCATTAGAAAATGTGCCAATGAGAAGGAAAGCAGAATTATGAAGGAGCAGAACATATGTTAAAACAACTTGTCATATCCAAATTGAAAATTTGGGTGGGAAAATTCCCATTTATAAAAGCACTCATGTTCCATTAAGTATCAGCACCATATATTTTCAATGTATGTCCTGCCACTTATACGATTTTCCAAGAACGTAATCATTGAAGAAAAGTATCACACAGGAGGACAAAGGTAGGCAAGTGTAAGGTAGGGGTAGGTGGGGAGCAGCCTGTGGAGGGGGAAGAGTGGGTAGGGAGACAAAGGAACAAATAAATACTCCATAGTTGAGGACCGAGTGCCTAAGAGGTGGAAAGGGTCAGATGCAATCTTACCTAAATCCCATAACTCTCCCTCTAGTTCCTGCTTCCTGCTACACTACACCCTGGGATCAACAGCTAGTCTAGATCAGCATTATATAAATCACCACCACACTGCTCCCCTCTGAAATTATGAGCAAATTTTTACCTCAAAAAAATCTAAAAGAATGCTTTTAAAAATATGCCCAAGAATATAAAACTTCAACATATTTTAGGTAAAACTTTTCACAACTCAACATTTAATAAAAAAATTCTTAATACTGTAAGCCTAAGAAACTGTTGCTAACAGGTGACATCAACTGAACCCTCACTACCACCAGCACAAAATTACCTATACTACTCGTTTATTCCTCAAATAATCCCATACGGGCCGGGGATTTAGTTCAGCGGTTCGGTGGCCTGCCTTGCAAGCGCAAGGACCCGAGTTCAATCCCCGGTACCAAAAAATAAATTAATTAATAATAATAATCCCATAAACTCGACATTGTTATTACCTGTTTACTAGTAGGGACAGAGGCTCACAGGGATTGCGGAAGTTAAACAAGATATGTGCAAAGTAATAACTCTGCCTTACTACTCCAACGCAGATCCTCTAACCCTTTTCCTTACTAGAAGAGTGCGTAAACAGCAAGCAAGTTCTTTAATTCCGGGGGTCAGAGAGGGCATATTTAACACAGACACTGCCCGACAAAGGACTGAGGACAGAGTCCTACCACAGCAGGAGAAAGAATCGGAACGCTGGCAAGTGTGCAAGCGTTCAGGCCCGGACAGCCCAAAAAGGACATTTCAACAGGGCAAAGTTCGGGTCCAAACCGCTAGGGGCCACGGCGGCGAGGCACAGGTTTCCCCCAGGGCAGAGGAGACCTGGGAGAGGAAAGGGCCCGGGGTGCCCGTTTCCCGCTAGGCGTAGTGACTCAGGACACAATCTCGGGCCGCGGCGGCCGGGGGCGGACGCGGA